TTTCACCTGCGAGGACCGCGATGTACGTGAAACTGTGAGCATAAGTTCGTGACTATCGTGACGGTTATCACAAGTTCGCATTAATTTTGCGCAAGATAATGGCGCGAAAACAGCCCACGGCTAAGATCTTATACAGTTTGGGTAAAATTTTAAATACCAATTTGCATTCCCGAGTGCAATTTGTACTAATTGAAGTACGAGTCTAATTAAGGAAACATTGAGTTTTGCATACAATATTTAATAATGTTTGTTGCCCTTTGTTAGTTTAAATGACTTGTGTACACCCACAAAAAATCAATAGGTTTTTACTATACATTTACATTTTTGCTAAAAGTACATGTAGATACACTAGATACATGTAGATATGATAAGATAAGATAAAGTTTATTTTCTCTTCCAGAAAGATTACTTAATATTATCTTATTACAGTAATTGCTCAAGACCATTGTGGGAGACTGGAATCTGCACTAGGGAACCCTGTCACACAGATTGCCAGTAGGAAAATGTATATTAATAATAGTAATATCCGTGCTCATCACACAATTATTTGTCCTGGGTGAGAATCGAACCCACGACCTCTAGCGTAGCAGTATAAAAAATAAATTATATATTGAGGAAGTTTATTAGGCAGAAATTTCCTTGCAACCTGTTTTTTATAGTCATCACATATGGATAATAAAAAACAGGTTCCCCCAATTTTCAACTTTTTCAATATTTATGATCAGCGTATTTGTAAAAATAAAACTCTACGTTGCCATTAAATTGAGTTGCAACTTTCCACCCGAAAAAACATACCTACATCTCGTGTATTTTTTTTTTGTGGATGGTAAAAAAATTGGTGTCAACAATTTTCCTGATATAATTCAATGATTTTATAAATTGCCGTGGGCCTAGAAATTCTGATTTATGTGACCCTGTTTAATATTAAAAGCACACTATACATGTCTAGTTTAGATCATGTTAATGACTTTTTACTGAAGCAGAGAATACTGGCTATGGTTTCACACAGGGCAGTGTTCTGGACTGTACCTTGGTCCAGGTTTATATAAATAACCTTTGCAACCTGAAGAGACCAAGTGGTGTCATAATATCTTATGCGGAGCTTTAATATTTACACCGAAATCTCGTAATGAGGTTTATGAGCTCGCTCAGACAGGCTTAAACATAGTGACTAACTGGCTTAATAAAAATCTAAGTACTAACCCTAAATACAGATAAAACAAAATACATTATATTCTCAACATACATACCTATTATTAATATAAAGATAATAGCTGCAAAACATCTGCTGACTTTGCATGTACCTGCCCTGCCTTAGCAATCTCCAATGATGTGAAATATTTAGGTGTCACCCTTGACCAACATTTAAATTCCCGCAAACACGTTGATTTATTATGCACAAGGGTACGAAAACTAATATTTAAATTTAAGAATCTTCGCAATGTAGCCGATCACACATTTTTAAGGCAAGTGTATTTATCGTTGTGTCAATCAATACTTACTTATTGCATTACTTCATGGGGTGGTGCAGCAAAGTCAATATTACTGCCTTCAGTGCGCGCTCAAAGAGCAATTCTTAAGGTGGCGACATCCCGCCCATTCATATTTCCCACTCTACATGGCATGTAATGTACTAATAGTCCGACAGTTATATTGTACAGTATTCTAAAACAGCACACTGAACTTCCCTATAACCCAATACAATCAAATAAGAGAAGGAAGGACATAGTATGTAGCAGGCCTCAAGCTAGTCATGCATTTCTTCATAGATTTTATATATTTTTAGGACCTTTTTTGTACAATAAAATTAATAGGATACTAAATATATACAGCCTCAATAATAAAACATGTGTGATCATCTTATCAGAATACTTAGGTAAATTTATCTATGCAGACATAGTAAATACATTGCAAATTGTTAAATGAGTTCTAAATAGTTTGTTTAATATTATTTTCTATAATTTGCTTTCATGCGTGTACACTTTGTAGTAATTTTATCTTTTCTATTGATCTGTTTTGTTTATTTTACATTACTTACTTACATTTCGGCTAGAAAATCTCTCGCCATGAAGGTTTTATATCAATTCAAAGTATCTATTACTACACAACGGTAATTTCATACTTTAACCCTTATTATATACTAGCTGAGACCCGCGGTGTTACCCGCGTGGTCTCAGCTAGTATAGTTGTTATAACCGCGGGCAAGGCCGTGAAGCTAGTCTAAAGAAAGTTACTCCTTATGTCATCAGCTATCTGCCAGTGAAAGTCACGTCGAAATCGGTCCAGCCGTTCCAGAGATTACCCGCAACAAACAGACAGACAGACAAAAATTGTAAAAAAAATATTTTGGCATATGAACCGTGTAAACATACATATGCATTTATTAAAAAGCGGTTATTTTAATATTACAAACGGACACGCCAATTTTATTTATTAGGTATTGTATTGTATAGAGTATAGATCATTTAAGCTGATAAAATGTATCACTCACTCACTCCGAATGTATCAATAACTCAGTTGTAGATCACTAGCTCAACGGCGCCGATCTTTTGTTACATGAGCGAGTGAGACTAAAGATAAATGAGTGATATAGATGATGGTTAAGTTCACGCTAATTTAGTTTCTTTAGGCCTATTAGGCAAAATGAACATGATTTCTAAAAGATATCAAAGTTTAAATGTATTATTTTAAAATTAAGCCTGCTAAGTATGAAGGAAAATCAATTTAATATGTAAGATTTCTAATATACAACCTAATAAGAAGTACAAAAAAACAGGTATTTCTTATTTTTTTAATTATTTTTTAAAAGCGGGTTAATAATTATGTGATCATATCAAAATGATTAAAAATGGTATTTAAATCAATTGGTTAAAAATGAAATTCCAAGAACTGAATTTAAGTTAATATGAGAATAAAAAAAGGTTTGTATGAGCGAGAGAGGTTTGATTGAAGTGAGTGATATTTACTGAGCTAAACGATCTTTCAAAGAAATGAATCAGTTGAGAGACCAATCAATTGAATTGTATCACTGAGGTTAATGAGCCAGTGAGCTAGATGAGTAATGTTCAGAGCGGAGAGAGGGCGCTAGTTGCCATGTCAACATCGACTACCGAAACTAAAAACTTGTTATAAAATACTTAACTAATGTGCTAGAGTGCGTAAATACTAAATATCTGTGACAAACCAGTGAATTCAAATATTAAGTAAATTAAAAAGTTGAAAACGATATTAAAATAGCACACAAGTGAAATTTTAATAGACTACAATAACTTTTACAGTGGAAACAGTGTTAAAAAATTTGTTCGTTATCTTGTTTGAATTTTACGGCAACAATTACAACAGTTCATATAAACAACGTATAGCGCCATCTATGGCATTAGAACGGAACTAACTACACCAAGTTATGACCACGGTACAAATACAGAGGTGTTGAGATTTTGATTGAAGAGTTGTAATCAGATTTTCTTACAAAACAACGCTTGAATATTTGGGGGGTATAAAACTCCGCCCACGTCTCTTTTTCCATCTACCAAATAATAGCAAAACTACTCACATCGTTGTTTGTCGATGTTGCTATATAGTTTAGCTATCTCACACTAAATGAAGGATTTAAGGGACTCAGAATTTTAAGTGAGTATTTACACGCTTTATATATATATTTCTTGGCGTCCCATGGATTTACCCTGCGGGTGCCAGGTATCTACATCGCATGATAGATGGAGGTAACACATGCGTCTTCGACAGCGCTTGGGGATTGCGACCCAGGATTAGGTTTAGGGAGTACTCCTTGCGACGCCGCAGCGCTCACCTCCACTGTCTGCTGTGTTACCCCCTCTACATAACCATATTTGATACGAGCCTAGCAATGCCGCTTTGGATACTCGTTCAAGAAAAGAGCTTACTAAAGCTCTTAGCAATCCAAGGTCTTTAGGAGATATTTAGCTGGTACACCCCCGCGCGCACCCACTTCCACGGCATACAACACAACGAAATAACCATTTTTAATTATGTCATTGGTTAAGTCAAACTTCTCCTTAGCTTCAAGCTATCATATCTTTATTAAATTCCGTGTCATTTATATTTAAAGGATTATCTGTCTTTCTTAGTTTAGTTCTGCGCCTTGTTTCACTAAAAAAAATAACTCGATTAAAATATATATGTAGGTACATACTAAGTATATTAAATTTAATTAATATAGTAGAAGTTGGTGTAAAATCCAAGAATTTTCTTTCAACAAATATGGCCTTTTTCGTCAAATATGCTCTCTTAAATGCCGCATAACGCTCAAATAATATTCTTTATTTACCGTTTGACCTTCCGGCAAGAATTCCGAGTGCACAACACCGCGATAGTCAAAGAAAACAGTCAACATGACTTTGACTTTGATCGACTTTGGCGTGGTTTTTTCGGTTTCGGTACAGTTGGAAGGCGCCAAGTTTGGCGGCTATCTCTCTCAAAGTTGAATGAGGATTTTCAGTCACTATTTCCATCACTTTTGCGATGTTAACTTCAGTTGCAGACGTTGATGGCCTGCCAGAGCGAGGCAAATCTTCCATCACATCTCGACTGCTTTTGAACGCTTTGTACCACTCACAAGCACGTGTTTTTGATAAAGTCGAGTCTTCTGTAACATTTTCAGTGACTCCGAACACGAAATTCCATTAGCGATGCACAATTTAAGACAAACTCTTTGTGCGATGTTTTGTCCATTACAAAATTCACAATACACACTAGATATGATATAACTAAAAACAGCACTGTATTTAATATAAAAAACAGATGCAACTCAAACCCCGCGCCAAAATGGAACACAGTTGTGCCAATCTATCAAAAAAAAAATTTGAATTTGGAACCATAAACAAATCATCCATTCCCTATACTTTTTTGACTGAATGTATTTCCATAATTTTATTATAAGTACTTTATCAAAAGGTAAAATTAAAAACATTTTTAAATCAATATTTTTTTATTTATCATTATAAATATACTCTACTCTTCACTCAAAATCTTCTTTCTTCTTTAGCCTAGAAATAAAAATACATATTTTAGAACACTTAGTTAACCTTCACATAAAAAACTAAAAACAAGAGCCTAGAATGACCATATGGTTAAAGGTTTAAGGGTATTCAACTTTTAAACCGTAACAATATAATAGTCTAAATATTTCATAGTACAAGCTCTGATTAGTTGTGTGTTGTGTGTTAGATGTCCGAAAATATAATTATTTCCCTATTCAATAAATTTCACTAGGAACTAACTTAGCTTGAATGTTATTAATATCCTTAGTAAGTCTGTGTTTTATATCCTTGATTATGAAAAGTTTGTGTTCATAGTCATAATTACCATCAGTAGGCAAATATTACTTCATGCATGACGGTCAGCAGTGGGACAGTGTTAATGAAAAACCTATTTGAATTAGGTTTAAATGCCTAAAAGACAAGTTTTAAAATTGAATGGTATTGCGGTGAAACTATTAAAACCACGAACTGTTCAAAAAATATGAATATTTAAAAAACCTCTGGTATAGTTATCATGAAAAACGGCTTGCTTTCTTATTCTAGAAAGATTCTTAAAATGAAGATTTCAATCTTGACCGGATTACCGTTACAGTGGGTCATTTCTGCACAACACTTCAATTCAGATCTAAACCTGTAAAATGTACTTTTTTGGTTTTTGGGTGTTTTTGACTTACCTTGCGCTTCTGTGATCTATCATGTTCTATAATTCTCTTGTCTTTTCTGCGCACAAAGCTAACAAGTCTCCTAATCACCTCATTTCGTTCCATTTGCGCCATATATCTAATTTGATAATTTTCTTTTAATTTTAAATTTAATTTTGTGTAATTAATATAATTCCTCTCGCACGGTAATATCTTATGTGGACCACGATTCCAATAGCCTAAAAATATAAATATAATAAAAATAACATACAAGTCAAAAATAATACAATTTCGATTCTATGCACTGTATGAGTTCAGAACCGTTAGGGTCATAAGTGCTATGGATGTACATGATAGATCTATAACCGTGTTACATGGTAGATATATACATATTAGATATGTAGGTAAATCAGGATTTCCTCCCAGACATATATAAATTATTGAACATGATCACTGGTGTGGTAAACAAAAACAGTATTGTATCTAATGACTATTGTTATGAGTAAGTCTCAGTTTATACATCTTATATTATTTATATATGTATAATCATGAATATTAAAAAACACTTAGCATTTCTTTTTCAAAAAAATAATGTTCATTTACTTCTATAAATTATTGATAACCATAAATCATGCTAAATTGACGAACAGAATTCAACTTTAAATGTTATCATCATCATCATCATCAACAGCCTTTAACAGTCCACTGCTGGACATAGGCCTCTCCTTAGTAAGGAGGTTTTGGCCTACTATACCACGCTGGCCAGACGGGTTGATATAGGGTTTGTGTCAAGTTTTCCTTCTCTTTGCAGTGTTGTTGTCCTGCGTAGTTTGCTCCCTAAGTCGGCTCTTACGACACCCACGGGATGAATGGGGGTGGGGACAATCCGTATTCTTAATCCGTCACCACACGGACCGGACGGAAATTTTAAACATACTTTAATACTTTATAACACACAATTATTCAAAGAGCTACATTAGGTAGAAATATTTATTTTATGTCCAACGTATTTATAGTATAAATAGCAATAGAAAGAATTATGATAGAAAAAAATGTAGAAAATCTTACTATTATTTGTGGAGAATTCCATCCAATATGCATAGAATTCACGAACTTGCTCATATTCAGTAGTAGAATTGCCAAATTTGGGTATATTGGTGACATCCGTGTCGTCAAGGTATATACTTTCCTCCAGTGCCAAATTATAAAATACCTGCAAAAAATACCACTACGATTACCTAATGCTCAGTGGAACTTATTTTAAAATTATACTAGTAAATACTCAAAGGACACAATGTTTTTTTTTTAATATTAGTAGAATGTGTTTAAAAAATATATGCTACATATATTTTTTATTGATATGGCTAATAAATTATACAGATTTTTTACTGCACCAACGACTGTACCTATGTACATATATATATAGTAATATTATTAAAATGATTAATTCTTTAACTTCAATTTTTGTAACAACTGTTTGTACAATATTCTGACAAATAAATGAATGAATTAAGTATTATTATAATAAAATTTTTATTAACTAATTTTTTTTTACCTCAGCATATACTCCATAAAATCCTCGAGGATCATCACCAAAACCTTCGTAACAGGATGGAGAAAAGTAACGGTAAACATCAAAAGCCTCTAAATCACAAGCGTAGTAGCCTTCGCCCAGTAGTATATCTTCCCTGTTGTCGTCATACCTTTAATGATGAAAAACACGAATTCAATGACAATCACGAGAAACTTAAAATATAGCGTGGGATTTAAATTGTTGATACTATTTTAATGTGTATTTTAGTTAAATTTACCACGCTCGTTCTTGAGGGTCAGAGAGCACTTCATATGCATTCTGAACTAACTGCAATAATTTTTTCTTCTCCTCCTTTTCCTCCTCAGCCATCTCCAAGTTATTTTCCAGATAACGTTGTAAAGCAATTCGCCGTCGCCGGTAAGCCCTCTTTATTTCTGAAGGATGGGCATCTTCTCTTAAATTTAACACTTTGTAATGGCACTTCATGTTATAATTATTGTCTAGATGCCGTTGTGAAACCAGTTGCTGTCGCCGGTTAGCCCTCTTGCTTTCAAAAGGGTGGTTTATATCATCGTGTCTTAAATAGAACACTTCGTTAGGCCACTTCATTTCGCTCACTTTCAAAATATTTCAGACTGTTGAAAATTACCACGCGTACCTATGTGTATTTATTATACAAAACGGTAACGTATATGTTAAGAATTAACTAATACACTCAGTGAACTAAAAGAGGAACTTGCAAGGGGAAAGTATTATTAAGAACTTTACACGAAATAATATTTCGAAGATTTTTACTGCACATAACCGCCACTGCCGCGCTTGGAACTTTGCAAAACTTTGTATGACATTTGCTTATTTTGCTTTACTCTTTGGTACTTGGTTTGCTTTTTTTTTTAATTATTTCTATTCATGTCCATGGATACAAGTCTTTCAGTCGAAAACATAGATGGGACTAGGTTTGCTTCTTCAACAGTGACACCATGACACGTGTGTATAAAAACTAAAAACTGTCAAAAACGCCAGAAAAATAAATACTAGTGAACATTAGGATATTTAACTTTTTTTTTCTTTTTGCTTTTTTCTTTTCATTTATAAAAGATAACTCCCGCATTAGGAATATATCCTGTGTCGCGGAGGACTTTACAAACATAGCGAGAACGAACGTGGTAAATTTAACTAAAATTCACATGAAATTAGTATGAGCAATTTAATTCCATATATATATTTTTTTGAATAAAAGAAAAGAAAAAAGCAAAAAGAAAAAAAAAGTTAAATATCCTAATGTTCACTAGTATTTATTTTTCTGGCGTTTTTGACAGTTTTTAGTTTTTATACACACGTGTCATGGTGTCACTGTTGAAGAAGCAAACCTAGTCCCATCTATGTTTTCGACTGAAAGACTTGTATCCATGGACATGAATAGAAATAATTAAAAAAAAAAGCAAACCAAGTACCAAAGAGTAAAGCAAAATAAGCAAATGTCATACAAAGTTTTGCAAAGTTCCAAGCGCGGCAGTGGCGGTTATGTGCAGTAAAAATCTTCGAAATATTATTTCGTGTAAAGTTCTTAATAATACTTTCCCCTTGCAAGTTCCTCTTTTAGTTCACTGAGTGTATTAGTTAATTCTTAACATATACGTTACCGTTTTGTATAATAAATACACATAGGTACGCGTGGTAATTTTCAACAGTCTGAAATATTTTGAAAGTGAGCGAAATGAAGTGGCCTAACGAAGTGTTCTATTTAAGACACGATGATATAAACCACCCTTTTGAAAGCAAGAGGGCTAACCGGCGACAGCAACTGGTTTCACAACGGCATCTAGACAATAATTATAACATGAAGTGCCATTACAAAGTGTTAAATTTAAGAGAAGATGCCCATCCTTCAGAAATAAAGAGGGCTTACCGGCGACGGCGAATTGCTTTACAACGTTATCTGGAAAATAACTTGGAGATGGCTGAGGAGGAAAAGGAGGAGAAGAAAAAATTATTGCAGTTAGTTCAGAATGCATATGAAGTGCTCTCTGACCCTCAAGAACGAGCGTGGTAAATTTAACTAAAATACACATTAAAATAGTATCAACAATTTAAATCCCACGCTATATTTTAAGTTTCTCGTGATTGTCATTGAATTCGTGTTTTTCATCATTAAAGGTATGACGACAACAGGGAAGATATACTACTGGGCGAAGGCTACTACGCTTGTGATTTAGAGGCTTTTGATGTTTACCGTTACTTTTCTCCATCCTGTTACGAAGGTTTTGGTGATGATCCTCGAGGATTTTATGGAGTATATGCTGAGGTAAAAAAAAATTAGTTAATAAAAATTTTATTATAATAATACTTAATTCATTCATTTATTTGTCAGAATATTGTACAAACAGTTGTTACAAAAATTGAAGTTAAAGAATTAATCATTTTAATAATATTACTATATATATATGTACATAGGTACAGTCGTTGGTGCAGTAAAAAATCTGTATAATTTATTAGCCATATCAATAAAAAATATATGTAGCATATATTTTTTAAACACATTCTACTAATATTAAAAAAAAAACATTGTGTCCTTTGAGTATTTACTAGTATAATTTTAAAATAAGTTCCACTGAGCATTAGGTAATCGTAGTGGTATTTTTTGCAGGTATTTTATAATTTGGCACTGGAGGAAAGTATATACCTTGACGACACGGATGTCACCAATATACCCAAATTTGGCAATTCTACTACTGAATATGAGCAAGTTCGTGAATTCTATGCATATTGGATGGAATTCTCCACAAATAATAGTAAGATTTTCTACATTTTTTTCTATCATAATTCTTTCTATTGCTATTTATACTATAAATACGTTGGACATAAAATAAATATTTCTACCTAATGTAGCTCTTTGAATAATTGTGTGTTATAAAGTATTAAAGTATGTTTAAAATTTCCGTCCGGTCCGTGTGGTGACGGATTAAGAATACGGATTGTCCCCACCCCCATTCATCCCGTGGGTGTCGTAAGAGCCGACTTAGGGAGCAAACTACGCAGGACAACAACACTGCAAAGAGAAGGAAAACTTGACACAAACCCTATATCAACCCGTCTGGCCAGCGTGGTATAGTAGGCCAAAACCTCCTTACTAAGGAGAGGCCTATGTCCAGCAGTGGACTGTTAAAGGCTGTTGATGATGATGATGATGATAACATTTAAAGTTGAATTCTGTTCGTCAATTTAGCATGATTTATGGTTATCAATAATTTATAGAAGTAAATGAACATTATTTTTTTGAAAAAGAAATGCTAAGTGTTTTTTAATATTCATGATTATACATATATAAATAATATAAGATGTATAAACTGAGACTTACTCATAACAATAGTCATTAGATACAATACTGTTTTTGTTTACCACACCAGTGATCATGTTCAATAATTTATATATGTCTGATTTACCTACATATCTAATATGTATATATCTACCATGTAACACGGTTATAGATCTATCATGTACATCCATAGCACTTATGACCCTAACGGTTCTGAACTCATACAGTGCATAGAATCGAAATTGTATTATTTTTGACTTGTATGTTATTTTTATTATATTTATATTTTTAGGCTATTGGAATCGAGGTCCACATAAGATATTACCGTGCGAGAGGAATTATATTAATTACACAAAATTAAATTTAAAATTAAAAGAAAATTATCAAATTAGATATATGGCGCAAATGGAACGAAATGAGGTGATTAGGAGACTTGTTAGCTTTGTGCGCAGAAAAGACAAGAGAATTATAGAACATGCTAGATCACAGAAGCGCAAGGTAAGTCAAAAACACCCAAAAACCAAAAAAGTACATTTTACAGGTTTAGATCTGAATTGAAGTGTTGTGCAGAAATGACCCACTGTAACGGTAATCCGGTCAAGATTGAAATCTTCATTTTAAGAATCTTTCTAGAATAAGAAAGCAAGCCGTTTTTCATGATAACTATACCAGAGGTTTTTTAAATATTCATATTTTTTGAACAGTTCGTGGTTTTAATAGTTTCACCGCAATACCATTCAATTTTAAAACTTGTCTTTTAGGCATTTAAACCTAATTCAAATAGGTTTTTCATTAACACTGTCCCACTGCTGACCGTCATGCATGAAGTAATATTTGCCTACTGATGGTAATTATGACTATGAACACAAACTTTTCATAATCAAGGATATAAAACACAGACTTACTAAGGATATTAATAACATTCAAGCTAAGTTAGTTCCTAGTGAAATTTATTGAATAGGGAAATAATTATATTTTCGGACATCTAACACACAACACACAACTAATCAGAGCTTGTACTATGAAATATTTAGACTATTATATTGTTACGGTTTAAAAGTTGAATACCCTTAAACCTTTAACCATATGGTCATTCTAGGCTCTTGTTTTTAGTTTTTTATGTGAAGGTTAACTAAGTGTTCTAAAATATGTATTTTTATTTCTAGGCTAAAGAAGAAAGAAGATTTTGAGTGAAGAGTAGAGTATATTTATAATGATAAATAAAAAATATTGATTTAAAAATGTTTTTAATTTTACCTTTTGATAAAGTACTTATAATAAAATTATGGAAATACATTCAGTCAAAAAAGTATAGGGAATGGATGATTTGTTTATGGTTCCAAATTCAAATTTTTTTTTTGATAGATTGGCACAACTGTGTTCCATTTTGGCGCGGGGTTTGAGTTGCATCTGTTTTTTATATTAAATACAGTGCTGTTTTTAGTTATATCATATCTAGTGTGTATTGTGAATTTTGTAATGGACAAAACATCGCACAAAGAGTTTGTCTTAAATTGTGCATCGCTAATGGAATTTCGTGTTCGGAGTCACTGAAAATGTTACAGAAGACTCGACTTTATCAAAAACACGTGCTTGTGAGTGGTACAAAGCGTTCAAAAGCAGTCGAGATGTGATGGAAGATTTGCCTCGCTCTGGCAGGCCATCAACGTCTGCAACTGAAGTTAACATCGCAAAAGTGATGGAAATAGTGACTGAAAATCCTCATTCAACTTTGAGAGAGATAGCCGCCAAACTTGGCGCCTTTAAAATTAAAATTTAATGAAATAGTGAATCTTTTTTTTTACTTTCGGTTAAACTACCTATTTATTGGCTAATAAAACAAAATAAGGTTATATTCAGACAGAAAATCTTAAATGAGGTATGGGAGTTTAAAATGTAGTATATTTGGAGAAATAAATAATTATTATGTCATTTTTTCGGTTTCTGAACAGCACGTCTCCACTTGACATAGCGTCATAATTCACCAAGGTCAAGATCATTTGTAAACAGTGTTGACAACCTAGTGGATTTTCCACTAAAACTAGTGGTTTCAACCCCCCTTTTGGTGGCGAAATTTTGCATTTAGTGGCTAGTAGATTTTTTTAACCAAACCTCAAAAACGTTTAATAGGAAAGGACGATGATTGAAGCCATGGTGCGGAGCGAGGGTGCGTGGAACTCCGCCGTCTCCTTCTGCGAGCAGGTTATGCTCGCGAAGGAGATGGCGGAGCGAGACCGGGAGAGGTTAAGAACCCTCCCGGCTCGCCAGGCCCGTGAACGGGCCAGGTACCGCAGAAGGCTCGGGTGCTGGAGGTCGCAGAGCGACGCGATCTTATGACACGGGCAAACCGATTCAATTAGGTTTATGCTTAAACCGGTTTGAAAAGTCGAGTCGTCACACTACTATTTAATTAAGTATTCACGTTGTTGCGGATGAGAAAGCACGCGCTGTGTGAATGTGAAGCGTTAACGAATGAATCGACGAAATTTCGTGTACGTATTAATTCATACTAGGCATGGGACAAAATCCGGTTACGAGGCATGCTTTTTAAGTTTTGTCGTTTGAAGAAAAAAACACAACTAGAACCTTATAGTGTTTTACAAAGTATTCACCGCGTAGCTTAATACACTTTTCCATTCGCTCAAACCAGTTATTATAACATTTATTCCACTCTAGATGGGGGTGTTCAAAATGGCTGACTTGAAAACTTCGACTTCTTCTTCACCGGACTGGAACCTTTGACCACGAAGACTTTTCTTAATTTTAGGAAATGTAAAGAAATCGTTAGGGCTTGGGTCAGGACTGTATGGATGATGGTCAACAATTTCTACTTTTCCTGCTTCAAATACGTTTGACGAGCGCTGTGTGAGCTTGTGTTTTCGTGGTGCAAGATGATGCATGGCTTTGAGTTAGATTTTCGAAGTTCGGCGATGACTTGTGGTAAACAAACTATTGTATACCACTCTGCGCTAACCGTTCTACGATCTTCAAGTGCAATAGTCGCAACATGGCCGGTTTTTCCAACGAACGTGGCCACCATCTTCTTTGAAGTGCTTCGAGAACGAACAACTTTAGTCAGCTTTGGCTGGTCTTGAAAGACCCAGATTGAAAATTGTTGTTTGGAATCAGGATCGTAGGAATATATCCAAGATTCGTCACCACTGATGATGTCGTAGACGTGATTTAACTCACCTCGGTTGAACCTTTGCAGAGTTTTCTTACACCATTTGACGCAGGCCGCCTTGTGATCCAACGGCAAACTAGCTTTCTCACACCAAGCGCTTCATGCAAGATCTTCTGAATGGTTGTCCCTGAGATGTCTAATAGAGAGTCTATCTCTCGATACGTCACATGACGATCTTCGAGAATAAGTTGTCTCACAGCAATGATGTTATCTTCAGTGAAGGCGAATTTGGGGCGTCCTAGTATGTCCACGCTGGAATTCTAAATACCAGCGTTCGACAGTCCGCAGACATGGGGCTTCATCACTGAACACAGATGTTAGCTCTTCAAAACACTGAAGCCGTGTCAGGCCTCTTCATAAGTCGTAGAAAATTATTGCACGAACATTTTCCTTAGAAAGATTCGTTTTCGTACGTAACCTGACGGATTCCAATCGACGCTGTGACTAAACAATAGCATAAACCCTAATACTTTCAACTGTTTTGAGATTTAAAATTTAAACACATTCGAATATAGAACAGTTCAGAAATATGGAAACGACAGAACTTAAAAGGCATGCCTAGTACGTAGGTTAGGGTTACTACTTACTCCCCCCGAGTTCGTGGGGTGGCGGGCTCCCTACAGAGGCTGTTGCCTAACCTAGGGGGTCCGCGGGAGGAAGTTCGCCGCCTCTATTGTGCGGTGATACGATCCATGGCCCTCTACGGAGCGCCGATATGGGCCAAGCGCCTATCGGCCTCCTCCCGCTGCCGAGCTAAGCTCAATCAAGCGCAGCGGATAGCGGCCATTCGGATCGTACGAGGGTACCGCACTATTTCGTCGGAGGCGGCGACAGTCCTGGCACGTTTCCCGCCCTTTGATATCCTGGCGGATATGGATGCGAGGGTCTATGACCAGACTCGCGCGATCCGCTGGGGTGAGAGCGGGGAAGGCCAGGACGCGCTCGAAATGCGGCGGAACGCTCACCAACATGCACTGGTGCAGTGGCGCGTGCGGCTGGAACAGCCACAGAATGCACGCCAACGCGCTGTCAGCGCTGTTCTGCCTAACCTCGAAGCCTGGGTAGGTAGGGAGGGAGGTCGCGTCACCTATCGACTGACGCAGGTACTCACTGGGCATGGTTGCTTCGGTGAGTACCTGAATCGTATCGGACGCGAGGAGACGGCACAATGCCAGCACTGCGCAGCCGAATGGGACTCCACCCAGCACACGCTGGAAGACTGCCCCGCGTGGGCGTCTGAACGCGAAGTCCTGGTCGGCCAAATCGGAAGAGACCTGTCCCCGCCAGCAATCATTGCTGCCATGCTGGCGGGTGAGGAGGGATGGGGCGCAGTGGTCTCTTTCTGTGAAGCTGTAATGCTCCAGAAAGAGACCGCTGAACGGGATCGGGAGAGGGCCGATCCTGAGCGTAGAGGACGTCGGCGACCATACCAGCCGCCGACGGGGCCGCGGGCCGCCAGAGAGTGGGGACCTCTGGTCGCTGATTGAATGTTGCGGTAGGGGATAGGATGGCGGCCTGATTTCATTAAGACGAAATTGGGCCGCCACGTCGCGATTGAGGGGGGAAGTGATTTTCCCCTGGGATAGGGCCTGACTAGGCATGGTGTCAATTCGGGGAGGACCTGAAATAACATGGTCCGGGTCCTCCCAGAGTAGGACACCTGAGGCCGGCCGTCGGGGTGGTTTTTAGTGGAATCACCACATACTCCTAGCTCCTAGCCCCGAGGAGCAGGAGATCCGAAGGGATTTTCCACCCCGTCAACAAAAAAAAAAAAAAAAAAAAAAAGAGTTACTACTTACTCACGCGTTGTTGCCAATAAGTTAGTTTCAGACGATGCATAAACACTATTATTATACTATTTCGCCTATTTAACAGTAAATCTAGTAAATATTTTATTATATATAGTTACCATTCCCTACATAATAATAAAAAAAATACTAAGTACTTTTGTGTTACTACGGTATTTAGGTACGGTTAAATAGTGTCTAACTTATGTACCAAAAATAGAATGATAAATCATAGTTCACTGTGATTTTGTCCCATGTCTAATTCATACGTCCAAGAAATTTCAAGACTAAAAATAATTTGCTAACTGCTAATTAAGAATTCACAATTAATTATGAGTGTGAAGATTAATCATTTCATCATAAAATAGCATAAAATCACAACCACATGTGTTAATTCATATGATTAATAAACCTGATCAACACATGTGACTGATTTACTAAACCACTGCTACTTAATTATTATTATTACACTAGCGCAATACCGCGAAAGGTCTAAAATCCAAAAAAATTGGTTGCCTGTAAAGTCTGTATACGGGCGAAAGTTTTACGTGACAACGACTATGTCTGTCTCTCTCGCTCTTAGGCGGGCTAACCATGCCCGATTGGAAGGGACGCGTGCCTCTCACTCGCTCTCATTGTGAGCGCATAACGTGAGCGGAGCGTAACGCAGTTTCTTGAAGTGTCACCCGGCAAACCAATTTATAAGACGTTGTCACGTCAAAAACCAAAAAGGCATAATCTTTGATAAAAAGAATTTTGATTGATTTTAATGGCATTTATCTTTGTCTCAATCACAATTACATTGGAAATCGCTGTGGCTGTGACCAATCATTTCATCAAAGGAATATGATTTAAAAGTTTCAATAATTTCCTTTTAGTTATCTGTGCTCCAGACTAGTGATGCGCACAATGTATCACTAAGCTGAAAAGATTGATATATATCATTTCGCTCAAAAGATATATATCACTCATCTAGCTCACTAGCTCATTTAGCTCACTAGCTCATTTAGCTCACTAACTCGTTTAGCTCACTAGCTCATTTAGCTCACTAACTCGTTTAGCTCACTAGCTCATTGATCCGATTCAATTGATTGGTCTCACAATTAATTCATTTCTTCATCTAGATGGTTTAGCTCAGTATACTCGTATATCACTCTCTTTAAGCCTCTCTCGCCATACAAACCTTTCTTTATTTTCATATTAACCTAAATTCAGTTTTTGAAACTACATTTTTAACCAATTTTTTTTAAATACAATTTTATTCATTTTGATAAGATTACATAATTATTAACATCCTTTTACATAATAATTAAAAATAAGAAATTATTTCTTGTACTTTTTTTTAGGTTGTATAATAGAAATCATACATAATTTTATTTTCCTTGTACTTGGCTTAATTCTTAAGTAATATTAAACTTTGATCCTATAGAAATAATGTACATTTTGCATAAAGAAACCTGCGTGAACTCAACCTTCATCTATCTCACTCATTTATCTTTAGTCTCACTCGCTCATGAAACAAAGATCGGCGTCGATGAGCTAGTGATCTAGTGAGCTAGTAGTGAGTTACTGATATATTCGGAGCCAGTGTGAGTGAGTGATACATTTTATCGTCGTGAATGATAAATATCTTTTATATCACTCACTCAGGAGCTACACAACTCTACTCCAGACTGCTCCAGCTCCAGAGCATGGACATCTGTCTGTGGTATGGACGTCGTATCTACTGTCTTTACTTACTTAAAAGTAGTCTTCAAAATAGATCAATATTATTTTCGTGTGAATATCTTATTAACATTTTACTCCTGAGAATTCCTCATTTAGTTCACTAATCACTAGTGTCGACGAAAGTCGTAATATGTAATTTGCTGTTTTTTTTGTCAGAAATATAAAGCTATTACAAAAACCTCGTTGTAATTGTAAAATATTGTGAAAGTAATGTTATAACATTAAAATGAAGTGCCATTACGAAGTGTTATGTTTACAAAAGGAAGCTACAGCTTCTGAAATAAAGAAGGCTTACCGACGACTTGCGTTGCAGTGGCATCCTGACAAAAACTTGGAGAATTCGCAGGAGGCGAAGGAACAATTTCAGCTAGTCCAGAATGCATATGAAGTGCTATCTGACCCTCAAGAACGAGCGTGGTAAATATAATTAGCGCACCTTAGAATATTATCAGCAATTTAATTCCAACCCTATATTTTTTGTTAGAAGTTTTTATGATTGTCATTGAATTCGTGTTTTTTTCATTATAGGTATGACAACCACAGGGAACAGCTATTACGCGGCGCAGGCAGTTCTTATGATGATGATAGCCTTGATGTTTACCCTTACTTTTCTCCAACCTGTTATAAGGGTTTCGGTGATGATACTCAGGGATTTTATGGAGTTTATGCTGAGGTAATAAAATAGAGAGTGTATTTATAAAATTGACATGTATTTCTTTAACATTCTGTCCTTTCAGTACCTATTAAAATTAGCTGCAAACTATGCAAGATATCACTGCAAAGAGAAGGAAATCTTGACACAAACCCTAAACCAACCCGTCTGGTCAGCATGATATAGCAGTCCAAAACCTCCTTTCTAAGTAGAAGCCTATGTCCAGCAGTGAACTATCAAAGCCTGTTGATGATGATGAAAATGAAATCACATGACAATTGGTGATTTCATCATGTATATATAGATAGCAAGTCTGGTATGGACGGTGCCATATTATAAGATGGGAGCCATTTAGTTATGGAGCATTGCTAAGTCAAAATGTTATTTTATGCAGGTTTTTTCTAAATTGGCAAATGAAGAAATTGACTTCCTCGATGATCCAGAAGATGTCACCAGCATACCCAAATTTGGTAATTCCACTACTCCGTATGAACAAGTTCATGAATTCTATGCATATTGGATGGCATTCTCCACAAATAAGAGTAAGTTTTTCTTAATCTTAATATAATCCTTTATGTTAATTATACTATAAATGCATTATAGATGAGGTAAATATGTATAGCAGTTCAATACCTGCCATGTTATGCAATCAAAATTGTGTGTAAAAAAAAAAATTATATATGTTTTATATTAAAGTCTTGAGTCTCTTCAAACATATTATTTTTATAGATATTCTTTTTCTGTTAGTAAATTTAGCATGATTTATGGTTATCAATTATTTGAAGGAGTAACTGAACATAACTTTTTTTTAAAAAGCTATCATGCATACATTAGTGTTTTTAAACATTCATGATTATAAATATAAGATATTTAAATTGAGACTTACTTGTAATAATAGTCATAAACCATGAACCATAAAAACACATCTAAAGTGAACCATGAACCATACTAACACATTTATTATGGACACCAGTAGCACTTATGTCTCTAATCATCATTACCATTCTAAGTACAAAATTATTTTTGAGTTACATGTTATTATTTTACAAATTTTAGGTTATGTGTGGCTAGATCAATATGAAATATCACAGGGTGACAATAGGCGAGTTATTAAATTAATGGAGAAAGAGAATAATAAAATTAGACAGAAGGCACGCAAGGAACGAAATGAAGAGATTAGGAGACTTGTTAGCTTTGTTCGCAGGAAGGACAAGAGAGTTTTAGAACATACAAAGTTACTACAGGAGAAAGCTGAGGAGAATAAAAGAAAGGTATGTCGAAACATCTATGATCCGAAAATGTATTACATATATTTTACATCTCAATTGCAGAGTGTTGTGCAGAAATAATCCACTTTACAACCTGGCCACAATTGAAGTATTGATTATAAGATTATTTTTAGAATAAGAAATCTTATTCTCATGAATTTCAGTTTTCAGAATGGCAGTAAAAATAATAATTTATTGAATTTTTCAACTCTTATCTTTTTAAATAATTGAATTCAGTTTGATTTGTTCCTGTCCAAGTCAATTCACTTATAAAAATTGTCTTTAAGGTATTTAAACCTGTTCCATACAGGTTTTCACTTTTAAATAATCTTGTCCTTCCAAAGTAAACTTACTAGCTTCTCAAAAGGGATTTTTGAGATTGGTTTTTCTCTAGATTATCATATGCATATATTCAAAGACAAACTTCTAAAAGAAGTTAGTGATATTTAATCATATCTGGTTCCTAGCGAATTTTTTAAAGAAGTAATATACATACATACATTCATTACCTCATTTCCATCTGGGTAGGCTGAGATAAACAAACTTCAGTAGGTCTTTTATACCTGCTCACCGGTTATGGGAAGCTTTAATAAGGCCCTTCGCCTTCTACTACTAATGGCATCAGCTTGCCCACTCTTTGCTGATCCTTTACCATGCCCAAATCATTGAAGCATCCCTTTCTTTAATTATTGTCACTACATTGTCTATAAAAATATTGGATATTTCAATTATGTAATATTGCATCCCAAATATAGTGTTTGATATATATTTAGACTTTAATACTGGTAGAGTTTAAAAGGTCAACATCACCTTTGTGTGGGTCACTCTGGGCTCTTATTTTTAGCTGTTTGTAAAGGTTAACATGGCTGAAATATGAATTTGGGTTATTAGATATTTTTTTTAAGCTAGTTATACTTCATAGTTTTTAATTACAGGCTGAACAAGTAAGAAGAGATAGAATCATACAGAGGCAAAAAGAAATAGAGGAAGCCAAGAAAAAAGAAGGAGAAAGTTCATTTTTACAAAGTGAAGATTATCAAAGAAAATTGAGTGAGATTGAGTCACTGCTAGCCGAAGAGTTTGGATTGTCTTCTGATGATGATGATACTATTAGTGAAGGTGGAATGGAAAGCAGCAATGAGGAAAGTTCAAAGACTGAAGAGGTTAGTTGTCTTAACTATAGTCCTAAATACAAGTGATTAGCTTTCACCTGCAGCTTCGCTGGGAAAAAGTATAGCCCTGGCATAAAAGTTAGCAACTTATGACATGTAATTGTAACAGACTAAGATTTGCATAATTTTGTAACACACTTGGTAACATTTCTGTTATAATAATAAGACCTTTATTCTGAATTAGAACATACAATATTCGAAGTTAAGTTTATAAAATATCCCGTAATTCAGAGTGCCTCTTGGCATAGGCCTCCTCTAGCACTTTCCATTGGGTTCTGTCTCGCGCTACCCTTCTTCAGTGACGTCCAGCTGTTAGCCTCAGTTCATCTGCCCATCTAGCTTGTTGGCGTCCTCTGTATCGTTTGCCATTTCATTGGGGTACATTTGTGTTAGTGCTCAAAAATACAAGCAGGATCGTTGGTACCTTTTATTTTAATCCTATGCTCCTATGGAGAGCTGTTGAGTGAGTAATAAGTGTATGTAGGCGAGCCATGCTGCGGCATAAATGGGCCATCTCAATGATACTATGGCCTCATAGAAAACCAGTGTTAAGCAATTGTTTTGATGTTTTTCATTGAGTGAATGAGGTGAGGTGACCTGAGCCCAAGCCCCTCCTCTCTGGTTCTGTAGAGGACACAACGCAGCAACGCTCTTGTGGCTCTTGCCGGTTAACCATTTTTCGTTCGCCCTCCTATAGCATAAAAAAAACAGTGGTACTCAAGGAGTGCAGACAAGTGAAAACTTGAAAATTTTAAAATTTGTGATTATAACAGTTTTTTTCGTTTAGAAAAGTTCCGACAAGAATATATATCTATGTTATACGTGTATACACAATATATGTTTATATTATACATAGTTATATTATCCATGTATTTCAACCTAAACTCAACTCTCATGTAAACGGGGTTAATATATGTAGATACTTATATGGAGAGGTGTCGGTAACGGTAACAGTGTCGCGAGTTCAATGGTTTTTTCCCATATCAAGAAATACCATATCAAAAACCTTAGTTACAACTTGAAAAGAATGCTGGAAAGCACAACTACATTGATTATGTGAGTGGGATTATATTAATGTTGACGTAATTTAGATATCTAATGTACCATTGTATATATTCGTAAATGTAACATATTGTTATTTTTAAATATTATAGGCAAGTGGAGCTTCAAGAGCTACTGCAAAATCATCCGCAAAATCAAAACCAATAATAAAGAATCTATATTGTTCAGCTTGTGACAAAGTATTTAAGAATATTAACTCATTTGAAAACCATGAAAATAGTAAAAAACATAAGGAAAATGTGGCCAAAATGACACTAGAAGATGACATTGACATATCAGAAGATGATGATGGGCATGTTGATAATGAAATTATACAAGAGGAGAAAGACAAGAAAGTAAAGTTGAATGGAGAAACTGAAGAGGAAGGTGGTTTAGGCAACTCAACATCAGATAATGATGTAAGAGAGACATTAAGTGACAATGATGACACAGAACATTCTGATATTCAGGTATATATACTAATCATATCTTTTTTATTAGCCACTTGTCCTTATGAAAGTTAGTAAACAGTTATTTTGTATCTCTAAGGAACAGTATTTTTTCTATGTCTATATGTGTCCTATGTCCTTTTCTGTTACCCCTCAAGTATATAAAGTGCATAATTTCATTGTTAACTTTTAAGTTCCTAGTTAGTTAGTATGCAAAAAGGTATGAAGAATGCTTGCACAGTTACCAAATGAAATATCTTCATAATCTTCAAATAAGATCTGACTGGCTGAATTTTGAATGAATTTTCAATACGAGAACTGACCTTCTGGTAACTAAATAATTTCTGGTAAATTCAACAGAGATACACAGCCACATGCCTCTTAATACCTTCTAGTGTTTAGTATAATACCTTCTAGTTAATATATTACTTAAAAAATGTACATATTGGACATTAAAATAATAAATATTACACAATGTTGTTTCAGGCACTTCCTAAAAGTCAAAAGAAGAAAAAGAACAAAAAAAAGTCTTTTATACCGATGCCAGAAAGTGAAGGCAATGATAGCCATGATGAGATGAGTTTCAATGAAATAGAAGGACCAGCTCGCAGTAGGAAGGCAAGAAAGTATAATATGCTGAAAAGCCAGGTACATACAAAGAAAGAAGCTAACTTGAAGAAGGGATCACAATCCCAAACTTCAACAGAAAATCTATATGAAGTATCAAGCACCACACCCACTGATGATGCATTAGGTGATGGAGGATTACCACGGGATAGACCGGCATTGCCGAAGACACAAAGGAATTTAAAGCCAAAGAAAACTGTAGAAAGGAAACCTGCTAGGACTAAGACAAGTGAAACAGAAGACTCAAGTACTGCATTGAATTTAAGATGTGCAGTCTGTCAAACAGACTTCCCATCTAAGAATAAGTTATATGAACACTTAAAAAAGACAGGGCACTCTGTACCTTTACCACAGACAAGCTTCTCACAAACTAGGAAAGGTAAGAGAGGGGCTAATAGGTAAATATGTGCAATTTTAGATAGGATGGAAGTTTAATTAAATCGTTGAGAATCAATTGGATTTCTTTAAATCTCTTACAAGTTGTAAAAGTGACTTTATCAATCTATTTATTAAAATATCACTGTCATTAAAAGTATGCCTGAAATATTGTATGTTTTATTGGATACTGTTCCTTTGTCCAACATATTTTAATTGTTCTTTTGAAAGCTCACAATATACTTATATTACACCTAGATGGTTTAGATTTATATCACAATAAACCATGCAAGATGACTTGGGATATGTAAATGTTTTATTATTAAATCCTATATCAATATCTGACTCAAGCATGATAGGTCTTAAAATCTAAAATGACCAGTTTTTTGATGTCCAAGAGCATCCAAATTATTTAACTCTTGTGTTCTTCCATCTGGAACTTTAAAAACACTGTAGTAGTCTCCTTTTCATAGTCATATATACTAGCGCTTCTACATTTTAAAAAACTAGCAGATTGACTTAGTAGATACAGTATTTTAAAACCAGTTGATCGTAGCATAGATGCAATGCTATAATTTAATTTTTTACACGAATTCTCATGTATAATTTGACTAAAAAAGTCTACCCTAAAGTACTTAATGAGTCATATTTTTATATTGTGGAATCTTTTTTAAATAAAAAACCAAATATCATTTACATTTTAATTAACATAGATGAACACATTGTTGTGTTAATAAGTTGAGTAACTCAATTCATGAGTATAGTGAAGAATGTAAGATATTAAACAATTTAAATGTTATAAATCAATAATAAAAACAGTTCCTTATTTAAATACTACATAACACAATGTTCTCAACATTGAAAGTAAAGTATCTATGGACTAAAGCATTTCATAAATTACATTATTATAGACTACAAGAAACAGATCCAACAAACATTATTTACAATATAAAGTTTTATTATTCAAACTCTGGAATGTCAGCAAAACTATATCCTGGATACTCTTTGTATGCATAATATGCTATCCTAATGTGATATGCTCCAGGTAAGAACATTATACAACCTAAAACGATCATGGGCCACAGACGGTCTGAATACTTAGTGTCTATGTGTCCAGTCACAATTAAACTACCTACAATAAGTAACGACGTACCGACAACAAATAAAAACGCAGCTAAAGAGATCGCCTTCCACGGTATTCTAGGCGGTGGAGCTTCGAATTGTGCATCAGAAAAACCGCTGTCATCATTGGACACTAGACGATAGCCATCGTGTTGTCTTCCAAAGCGAAACCTAGACATTCTTAAGTTCTTTATTTGCTCTGTAAGTAAACAAAGTATTATCAAACTATAGGAAAAACGAAGATAAAAATAGGAAAGAGACTTCTGTAAACAAAGTATAGTACATTGAAAATAGGCACTATGTAACACTTGCTTAACGTGAAGTTGTGTATGAGCGGAGCAGCTTCTTAATATAGTTCAAGCCAAGGTTAGGTGAAAAAACATCACTTAACTACGAAAAGTAACAAAACAACGATCAATCACTAATCAACAAATGTTGCTTTATTAAAGTTTAGTACTCTCAGATTTCAAACGTCAAATCTGTCGTGCTATGTCAGGTACTGAACAGTGCTACCAGCCCTAAATAATCGGATTCCATTCACTTAAGCGTTTTTTTAAAAAGACTTGTTTTAGAAAGATTTAGGTTTCTAAAGTTACACTAAAAAATAGAATACTTTTAAAAATAATAGACAAGACATAAATATAATATATAAATATTTATGTTCGTATGGATTGAGGCCACTTTTCATAACTTAATGAAATTAATATTATTATTAAGTAGTAAAAAAATTGTAGGATCGATCCTCGATTTTATAGTGTAGTACTTCAAAAGTTATATGAACACAAAGGAGCATCAATCTAAATGTTTGGATTCAGAACTCACGTCAGAACTAGGAACATGATGGATGAATATTTATCATAATTTAGGATGATGTTGTAGCATTTGAGAGTAGTTAGTAGACAAAGTAGGGGTTAACCATCCTGATTTTTTTACGTGACGAATAATTTAAAACATTTAAAATATTAAAATGAAGACCCAATATTAAAAAATGTCTATAATATAAATGTATTTAGAAATATATAAGTACGTTTATCAGCAGGCTTGTCACTTTACTACAGGCTCTGCCTAGTTTGGGATCAGGCTGTCGTGTGTGAGATGTGTGAAGCTCGTCTGCCCCCTCTATCATAGAAAAAAGCTATTATATTATTATTGGTGTTCTGTATGGAAGAATATAGAGTTAAATAAAAAAAGCTATTCTATTATTATTTTATTTTTGGTGTTTTGTATGAAAGAATATAGAGTTAAAATTGAGCAAACAAAAAAACATTTTGTGACGCAACATTCAATTGTAGCCCCCTATTCGTTGAATGTATTACCATACACGCTGAATAAGGCAGTTTGGTGTTCGGATGCATTGACGTCGGCCCTGCATAAGACGTAGGCCTTCTTGTTCCATTGGGCTGGTCGGCACGATTTGTGGATAGCACAAGTGTTGTCCCATGTGGGGATCAAACCCACAACACTGGACGCAGTAGGAAGCCGCGAGGTGGTCAGTCATTGCAGTGAGGACTCGGCTCAGCACACGCTGGCAATTTTTCCAGCTTAGCCGTCGACGATCCATGCCCAGTAGCGACTGATGTTTTACCGCGAATTCTTCTACGCATGCATCATCTGGCAGGAGAGGCCCAGGAGATGCCCCGGGAGGTTGAACACCGCTCGGACCCAATTCACTGACGGTGAACCGGGTGACGGGCGTGCGATTACCAGGGCCTCATGCCGCCCTGTATGACTGCGGGTGGACAGAACGCGTTTTCCCTTCCATCCGCTATAGTGGCCAACCGTGGTGGTGTGACGCCTCGAGGGGTTTTCCACAAAAGGTAAAAATAAAGGCAAACCTATTATTTACGCTTTACGAAGTGATAAGAGAACCAAATTGTACACAGCCCTTTTCAATATATTAAAACCCAGTTTCCAGACTGGAAACCATTAAGGATTAGTGCGATTTTGAACTTGCAGCCTTAAATTCTAAACATTTTTTTTTTAATAGATAAAGGGTGCTATTATCACTGGCAGCAAGCTACGTGGAGAATGGGCAAAGAGATATTCGCCATTAGGAAAGTAAACCTCAAACCAAAGTTGTGTCACTGTGTTCAGTAAGACCATTTTTACCAAATGATTAGCTTTTGAAAGTTTGGGAATATATTAGTTCCTGGTGCAACACCAATAATATTAAAATAAAGAAATATTTGAATTACTTTTAACGTTTTTGGCTACAATGATATTGTTAAAACTCTCAGTTGCTTCGGAGAAACGCAAGGAACCGATAACGTGACGGAGTCTTGACATAGCAAAATTTAATTTCCATGCATCTCCTGAATGATTTGGTCAAATCATCAAAAAAGAATAAGAAAAATTCAGTTAGAGCCAGAATCGAAAGGTCTTTTAGCACTTTACGCTTAGCATAACCTTGGCTACTATCGACAATGATGAGTACAGGAAGTGTTCTGGAAGCATAATATAAATTTTTAAACGAAATTTCGTAGATACTGTACTTAGCCACCCCACTGGTGGATGGCATCCGAAGGGATTTACGCACAACACTGTTAATAGCATAGTCATTGCGGACGTAGCGAATTATTACTTTATGTAACTACTTATATTTAATTATTATTGTCGATACAAAACGCAACAAAATAGGTGGTAGTAATACTACTACCACCTATTTTGTACTTACTATACAGTAATAGGTGTTTTAGAATGTATCCCTGTAATTAGCGATGCTAGCATAGAACACTATACATGTCACTACCCAACGAAGGATGAGATGTTTTCTTATGACGATGCTTCTCACTGTAAAATTCCAAAGTAGTATTTTTCATCAAAATTGGAATAAACGTAATATTTACAGGTGGAATGTTATGTTTCAATGTTTCTTATGCTTTTCCGATGTACTGTGAAATCTGATTATGGAACAAACTGTCATTTTGAATTAAAATTACGAGAGTTGCTATCACTACAACTTGACCTTGAGTACTAACGCCGACGCCGATTACTGAGCCAAAAGGGCTTAGTTTTACTTGCCTTACTTAATCGTGTGTGTTCTCTGTTTCTAGGCGTTATTATTCTAAGAGTGGCTATAAAATAACGAAGGGATAGCTATGTTAAGTATTCATGAAACAGGAAACAGTCCTAAAATTTAAGCCAAGTCGTTTACTAGGTACCTGCATCCATTCATTCATCTAAGTTCTTTTCTATGAATTATGATAATATGCTAAACTAACCTATACCTTATTAGACAGCTGACTAAACCTATATGTTTTTTAATTCATATGTTTAATTTAACCGTCTTTTTTTTATTTAGCTTAAACAAAAATATAGGTAGTTGAAAAAAAAAACATTTTGCTATTATCAACATTCTTCTTCATTACTTCGGCCCAGTTTGTTAAGTTAACTACAATTTTGGTAATGGAAATAATAAAACCATATATGACAACGCCAAAAACACAGTTAAAAAGAAAAATGAGAAAATAAGTTATAAATAAATTGTATTGTTCAAAATTTCGTCAATTTAATAAAAAATCTCAAAAGTATCTCAATATCTTGAAAATGGTTAGGTTTGGGATATGGTATTTTATAGTGATTTAGCGATAGCCATAGCGAGCCTTTTCAGGACATTTGAGTTTTTGATAAGGACAAAATAAACTCAAACTATCTTTATTTCATAAAATTTTCAAAATTGTTTGAAATCGTCTCTTATGACTGTAGATACTACCTTAACTGTCGAAATCCATCCAGCCATTTGGAAGATACGAGGTACTCGTATTAAATAAATTTACAAACAATTTCAAACAAACACAACCCTTTCTTGGCAGTCGGGTAATACTTAGACTGTGCCGGGCCACTGTTATTCTTTAACTTTGAATATTTTAGGTATATTTAAGTGAGTTATTTTTTTATTACTTTAATTTTTTTTTGGTTTTGTGTTTGGCATACTTAGTTGATTTAAATCAGCCATTTAAAAGCCATTTTAAACATATCTAATTAATAAGTTGCAAAAATTACGATATTGTGTATATTTTACAGATTTTATTATTTAGATGCCAAAACGCTAATGCTCTGTAGTTTTAAAGCTCTGAAGTCAAGTAAATCAGGATGTTAATATGACAAATATATCATTATTGTCATTAGCCTATTGCAGCCCACTGCTGAACTTACTTATATGTAGGTAGGTATAACTTACCTTTAAATTGGTGCAAAAAAAGAGTCATTTAATTTGTTATTCCTGGACCGTTATTAGGCTTATGACAAATTATCTTTTGAGATATATTATAATAGTTTAAGGTAAAGCTTCAATGGTAATCTGAATATCACTCATAGATTAATAAGTAATCTAAATGTCATGTTTTCTCCGTTTTTGAGACCTCCATCTGGAAAATAAATAATATACATTAAAAAACTGTGGCTCCAAAATCTATGCAAAGGGCAAAGATAACCGCTTAGAAGTACAGGCCAATATAGATATAACGATTCAAATTGTACCCCTTTTAGTGCTGCGGATTGTTTAAAAAGCCACCTGTCCTTGACATGATGAAGAATGTAAATTAGTGCGTTTTTCTTCTTTAGTTGGAAATTATGCCTAATTCTTTTTCCATTTAAAATTATAGTTTTGTGTTTTATTAATTGCCATAAGTTTCAAAATCTCCTGTTTTTTTAATACATACGAGTGAGCGCTTATGGTATTTTTTTTATTTGTGTACAAATAGGTACACAAGCTTTAACATTCACAAAGCTTCCACCAACCATTTGCATCAGATTAAACTTATTTATTAAACCCTACGTAAATATTTGTATAAAATTTTCATTGCGTTTTTTAGATATGTACAGTAACAAAAGAGTAGCACTTAAATATGTATGAATAAAAACATTGGTACTTTGTACTTTTTAAATAGAATTCATAATAAGAGATAAGTGCTGCCCCCTGTTGATTTTATTTAAATAATCGATAATATAATAGGTCTTTACCTATGAAATTGCCGTTTTGTATGCAATAAGTGAAAGTACTTTTTTCCGTGTGGTGACGGATTAAGAATACTGAGTGTCACCACCCCTATTCATCCCGTGGGTGTCCTAAGAGGCGACTAAGGGAGCGAAATACGCAGGACACGAGCACTGCAGAGAGAAGGAAAACTTGACACAAACCCCATACCAACCCGTCTGGCCAGCGTGGTATAGTAGGCCAAAACCTCCTTTCTAAGGAGAGGCCTATGTCCAGCAGTGGACTGTTAAAGGCTTTTGATGATGATGATGATGACTTATTTTTTCAAACTTTTTTATTTCTGTTATTCGAAGTAATCACCCATGCAATCGACGCATCTTTGCCAACGCATTGGCAGTTTATTGATGCCCTTCTTGTAAAAATCAGCTGGACGGGAGGCAACAAACCAAGCAACCAGCTTTGGTCAATCGGTCGTCCCCACTGCTCCTTCACGACAACGCGCGACCCCATACTGCGCAACAGACAGTCTCCAAGCTGCAAGAGCTGGGGTTAGAAGCTCTCCCTCATCCGCCTCCTCGAAATTGGGCCACCACGAAGCGATTGAGGGGGGAAGTGTTTTTCCCCCTGGGATAGGGCCTGATTAGGCATGGTGTCAATTCGGGGAGGACCTGAAATAACATGGTCCAGGTCCTCCCAGAGTAGGGCACCTGAGGCCGGCCGTCGGGGAGGTTTTTAGTGGAATCACCACATACTCCTTTGTTCCCTTCGCGGCACCGTGCGACTAACGTGTGACTTCATGTGCTAACAATTTAAATATTTTTTTCTGTTTTTTCTGCGACTAGTTTTCGGCTTGCGGGCGGCTAAAGGTTGTGTATAGTGTTTTAAAGAAAGTCAGTAAGTTTTTATTGTTTTTTAAACAGTAATATAGTGCTGAATTATTTTATTACGACTATTGGTGAGTAAATTTATTTTCTTTCTAAAAGTGGGTAGGAGGTATCCTTTGTTTATATTGATTTTTCTCTGCGTGTTATTTATTTTTAAACCTGTTCCTTTTGAAATTGTTGTTTGGTGTGTCTTTGTTTGGCTATGTCGGTCGTTAGCGAGTTGCCGGACCCCGGCGGTACAAGTGAATTTCTAACACCAACCGGGAAAAGGACATTTATCGAAATGTCACCTACTGGTTTCTCGCCGAAAGACAGTAGCCGTAGGCGCGTTATTAATTCGGACTTAAGTAGTAATGTTTCGTCTCCTACTGGTCGTGATAACTGTGGGGAGTACAACTACTGTGACTTAGTATCACAGGCCACTGATTATTTAGCAAAAATTAATGAATTAGTTAATGATCAGGGATCTCGGATAAATGTAGGTAATAAAACGGCGATTATGGATATTACTCAACGAATTACCGGTATCGTATCTTTGTTAGCAATAAAATCCTCTAGCAACGAAACGAAGTTAGC